TCGCACTAGGTTTGCTAGCACACCGCCTCCGGGCTGCCAGCGGCTCCTCCTGCTCCTTGCACCCCGCGCAGCTGGAAAGCACAACGTGCTGCAAGGGAACCCTTTGCTTCCCACTGTTGTCCCGAAAACAGAAGCCCCTCCGCCAAAACCACCGCCCCACGCAGCGTCGAGAGGGAGAGGTGCCTCTCGCTGGCTGGAGCCTGCCAGCTCTCAGACGAACCTCGCATCTCGGAGCGTGAGCCAGGAGCAAATACCCTGAGAAAGATCGAGGTCTGGCTCTTGCTAGCAAAGACGTTCCTGGATCATCTGGTTTCCAGCTGGGTGTCAGACACCCCGTGGGACCCCAACTGCAACCGTAACGTAGAGCGTAAGGCAGCCCGGGGGGGTTTATGGGGGAGGCATCGCTGCTGGAGTGGGAAATGGATGATAAACCACGAGGTGAGTGGCAGCGGGCAGAGCAACCAATGGCACGGGCGAGGCAGCTTTGCCTTCAGCTGGCATGCCGGCATCCCAAATCAGGGTGACGGCCCCGCAGGAGGGGGAGGTGGCTGTGAGGGCAGCGAGCGTCGGTTCACTCTGTGTGTATAGATTTAGCCTTGAACAAGTGCAATTTTTGGTAAGGGGAAGGAAGAAACGGAACCTCCCTGTAAAGCCGGGCCCAGCGGATGTCGCAGGTTATCCAAGGATTTAGAAAGAGAGATGCTTTTTCTGCCAGAGGGAAGAAGCTTCCTTCGAAAGGGGAGGGTGTTGAGAGGCACACATGCAGGGAGGGACTGCAGGGGAGCCTGCTGCATCAAAACCAGCACCGCTCCTCCCCCTCCTCCCCTTCAAAGCAAGCCCCTCCAGCCTGCCAGACCTGCGTGTCACCCTTCATTCATTTAGACAGATGACAGCAATGCTCACTTGTATGTGGCTTGGGGGTGGATTTACGAAATCCAACTGGAATTCATTAGTATATAAAATGCAATCACTAAAGAAGCGGATTTTACAAAATATAAACATAGTATCCTATGACATTGCTTTCTGGTCTCCGAGTTAGTAGGAACGGAGGCAGCAGGCAGTGACGGGCACCCTCTGTACACTACGAATAGGAGTTTGTTTTCATCTGGGATGGACGAAGGGCGAGAGCGCCCATGGCAAGCACTGCCAGCTCAAACTCTACCCTTCCAAAACCCTGGCAAAAACCAGCAATGCGTGGCGTCAGCACCAGCAGTGTTTTCACCAGCGTGGTTCCCCGCAGCTCCCTCTCTCCTGCTGCGACCAAGCACAAACGGCTCCGAACCAGCAGCACTTAGCCCGCAGCACACCCTGGCCCCCGCAGTGCCCAGAGGGGGCTGGTGGGTGGGCGGGGTGGGGGGGGCAGCCCAGCCAGAACAGGTGCTCGCTGCCCGAACCGGTGGCAAACTCCACCCCAAGGGACGGGAAAAGGGCAAAATGAAGCCGAAACCCAGCTGGTAATGATTTTCAGTGACCAAAGAATGAAAGTTGTAAGCAAATAAGCAGAAGCTAGTCATTTTTGCACAAAACAATTCATTTTGGGGGAAGGGGAAAAGCTGTTTTGACAGCAATTTTCCATTGAGAAAGGCTGGCTGGCTACGTATCCGGATTTGCTATACAACTGCAAGCTGCAGCCTCGGTGCTGCCCGCTTCCCTCCTCCGCGCACCGGCAGTCGGTAGGACCCTTCCAACAGCTTCCCCGGAGGGCTCCTCTCAAGCGAGCAGACTGGGAGCAACCAAATACGCTGAAACCAGGTCAGTCCTTCCGGCCAGAGCCTGCCCTGAAAAGGTCAGGCAGGCCATTTTTACTACACCTCTTGGCTTTGGCAGAAAAGGATCTATTCTCGTGCCGAGCAAAGGCATCGCTTCTCCATTTCCACCTCTTCATACAGCAAAATGCTCTGCATCTGTACAAAATGTTCTCATAATAAAATAATGACTGAACTATTTACAAAGAAAAGCGCAAATGAATGAAAGCATATCATCCACAACAGCAAAGTTATAGCAGCAGTTGCATGTCTTCAAAGATACCTGGCTTGATCTATGTTACATGCAGACATCAGTAGGGAGGCAGAGGAGACGGTAAAAAAAATAAAATAATAAACAACCCACCCATTCAGCAAAGTCCTTGATGTTGTCCTAGAAAGAAGCAGTCAGATTTGCCTTTCAGCTTACAAAACGTACAAGCAAGGGGTGGATGCAGCCAGGAGGGGATGGGGCAGGATTATGCAGCTGCGTCAAACTCATCACCTCCTCACCGGTCCACTCCCCGGGTGAAGTCATGCAAAGAGGAGGCCAGGAGGTCCCCAGGTCCAGCTGGACACGGGGGAAGCAGGTAGACAGAGAGCCAGGGAGACACCTACACTTCCCTGTCACTGCGCAGGGCTGCAGGCTCCCTCCACCTCCTTGTATCTGGTGAGTAGCAACAAACAGCAAGAGAGACGGCAGCACCCGCCACCAGGGAACTGATGGGTTGAAGAAGTCATGATGGAGGAGTGGGAGATGGGGCTACGGATCCTCACCTCCACTAGTAAACTTGCAGCGGGGTGGCTCTGCGGCTGGTACAGGTAATGGCACTTTTAAATACCAAAACTGGTGACACAGAAAGGTTTTGCTATGAACCTTCTCAGAGAAAAGGCAACTGAAGAAAAATGACCGCCATCAGGACTTTCCCCCCTTCTACGTGCTGCTATTACATGCCACAAAAGCAGAAACGAAGTTATGGAATATAAATACCAGAACAGATCCCTAAGTAGACAACAAAAATAAGTTAACATTTATAAAAAAAATACATACAGCAAGAAATCTGCATATTTTTAAATAATTTTCTTTGGAAACACACTTCCAGTCAGAATTCACCCCCAAAGGGTCATTGCTGAATGTCTTAAATGCTCAGAAGCTGGTACCCAAGGTAGGCAAAAACATCCTTTCATTTTTGGTACCATGGGAAACTTTGCTCCCCTCTGAGTTTTCATCTTCTTCCCCTCCCACCACATCTTCAGTGCTTTTTGGGAGGCTATGGAGTGTGTCGACCTTGCCTGTGTTTAAACGAAATAGACCTCCACCTAGCGGCTTTTAATTTCTATATTCTTCTCTCCCTGCTTGAGTAAGACTTTGTATATGCACGAGGAGCAAAGGCTTAGCAGATGGCCAAGACCCAGTGACTGGAGCACTCCGACTTCATTTTGTGGGGGGAACTGCACTCGAAACACACCCTGAAATGCACCTGGGAGGCAATGAACACATTGCCTTCACTCCCTCCAATTCCAACCCTGGCAAGAAGAGCCTCCCAGTGTGCCAGAAGGAAGCCAAGATTAAAACTCTTCAGTGGGCAGAAAGGCTATAAGGTCTGTCTTGGAAACCTGTGAGACATGGTCCACGGTCCGGCCGTGTAATCCAGGAGATGGTCTGGTTTCCCCTTTCTGCTGCACCAGATGCCCAGTGAGACCCTGGTCAAGACATGCAGGGGTCTGTTCTTCAGTTCTCCAACTGAACGACAGGGACAAGAGCCCGTCCCTTTGTCAGTGAGAGCCATGCTGACAGATTAAAGATTGTTCAGAGGCAGTAGTGTGGAGGACACCTAGGAAAGCGTCTACTCAGGTCGGGAGTGGGGATTTTTGCAGTATCGTATTTGGGATGCTCCATCCCTGGAAGTGTTTGAGGTCAGGTTGGACGGGGCTTTGAGCAACCTGATCTAGTGAAAGATGTCCCTGCTCGTGGCAGGAACGCTGGACTGGATGATCTTCAAAGGTCCCTTCCAACTCAAACCATTCCATGATTCTATGATTTGTTTTTCACTACAAGCTGAAGCGTGAATTTAAATCAGTGGCATGTATGGGTGTGGCCCACCTTCTTGATGCTTTAACAAGCCTTTTTTAGGGTAGTGAATTTGGCTGGGGAAAGCTATTAGAGAGAATCAAAAAAAATGTTCATCTTACAGCAAAACCAAGGCATTGCCAACCAAACACAGATCCTGGTCTCCAAACTTCCCACCTTTCACAACAGCCAGGCTCTGGAGACGATCTCTAGCCCCAAAGGGAAAGCTCCTCTCAGCAAGCCAGACCCTAGAGCTTAGCGGTGTTTTCTGGGCTGCATGCTCTACTGGGACCACTGGGACTGAGGAGCCCCTGCACACCCCGCCGGCCCTCCCTCGGGCAGGGGGCAGACACCAGGCACTGCTCACGGATGAAGTTCAAGACTCTGAAAATCTTCCTGTGCTTCCCCTTCCCAGGGCAGAAACGCGCTCCACCCGCTGATGCCAAACCGAAGTCTCACATCCTTTGCTAATGCCACGCGGCCGGCACACAGAACTGATGCGGGGAGAGGAAAATAGGGCCCCGCTTGTTGTTAGACCTGGGCTCACTTCTGCTAGCCACCCCACCACTGCAGCCACACCACTGGTGATTTCCGAGGCGAAGAGGTAGGACGGCTCTTTGGAGACACCCATCCTTTTCAAGGCATTCAAGTACTTGCACCAAATAGTTTTATGGCTAAACCTGGCAATCCCTCTGCTGAGCGTGTTGTCAGCAGAAACATCTGCTGGCATTACCTACACGCTTGCAAACGACCATTCACCCGACAAGCGGCGACCACAAACCCTCCCAACATTTCACAGCAGCGGTGCGCTTTAAAGCATATGAGTAGGTAGTTAAAAAAAAGTTAAATACAACAAAAACTATGAGACCTGATACTTTGAAGAATGCAAGTCTTGCAGGTGCCTTCTTAACTAGGTGAAAGCTGGTGTTTGGCGAGAGCCTTTTTTTGTGCGTACACGTTGGGTACAGCTCACATTGGGTGAAGGATGGATCTGGTGTAAGCCTGACAGTAGCACTGCAAAATCTGTTCCATGTATAATCAGTTAAGAGTATCTGCGGGGAGGTAATTCCCAGGGCTACTGAAAGAAAGACCTTTGTGAGACCTGGTTTCATAGCAGCATTTAAGGTTAACTGGCACACAGAAGCAGTTTTCTTTCTACACACTGGAAAAAAAAACCAGGAGAGGGAGGAAGGGAAGCGCATAGCCCCAGATTAGCTGACAGTGTCGCCGGGAGTATACCAGAGGTGTGGCTTTTATCCTTGTGATCCCTTTTAACTGTGCTACTAAGCAAACTGCAAGCTGCAGCAACAGGGCTGAGGAGTCCCGCATTATGCTTCCTTATTCCTGCATTACTGATTAACCAGATGTAACCTGGTTCAGGATCCCCACCACAAAGCTTCCTTCACTGCAGCCTTTCCCCAACTGCCCCTAAGCCAAACATGCAGTCATTTACAGCTGTCCGAACCAGCGTCCGTATTTCTCTCCGCATCTGCTGAGGCCGCGTAGGTGGCTTCCACGCTGTGCCATATTCCATAGGTAAAGTAGATGATAAAGCCTGCGGAAGGCAAGGCGAGAGGGCACCGTTAGCTCGGTAAGGAAAAAAACCACTACTCACACTGACCAACACAGGTTGCACCAGGGGTAACTCCAGCCATCCTGATGGCTAGCTTCTAGCGGCCAGCCACTACCTTCCTTAGAAAAAAGCCATTAACAAAAGCATCAGTCTTTAAAAGACAATCTATCCAGGCCCCAAACAGGGGGCTGATTATAGAATAAACCTCCCACGCTTTTCAGTGAGTTCACTGCAGTCCATTCTGCAGAGAGCTTTCTCTCTCCATTTGTGTGCCTGCAGCATCCATCCCAGTAAAGTACATCTGCAACTGATGCTCATCTTAATCGTTTTCATTGTAACAAATTCCCTGGGCGTTTCAGGCAATTCAGCCTTCTCCACATGGCTATTGGGAGCATCTTGAGATGGAGCTCAGCTCCTTCAGCTCCAGAAGCACAAGCCCCACCACCTGGACTGCAGTTCAAGGCCAGCCAACAAGAAATGCTGTATGGTTTCTTGTTGGCAACAAGACACACTGTATGGTTTCTTGTTGGCAACAAGACCCATAAGACGGTTCATGGGTTGTTGTTTTCTCCTCACAAAGGCTTCGTGACCCTTGAATTTAAAACAAGGCTTGAGACACACTGCCTAAATGGCTTCAGTTAAGTCACCGAGGTTGCCCAAGCATGATTAGAGTGCAGGATCCCTCCCTGGAATGCTACAATAAATTTATAGTTAACAAAATCCAGTAATTTTGAACATAGGACTTTTTACTGTCTCAAACTCACCTATAAGCATCCAGACTGCAAACCGTATCCATGTGCCTAGGTCTAGCTGCATCATGAGGTAAACATTCACAAAAATACTCACAACAGGAAGAAGGGGCAAAAGAGGTACCTGAAAAAGAAAGAGGGATACATTACACCCACAGGGCAGACCAACTGGGCAGGCAGGAACATCGCATCCCTGGTAAACGGGATGTGATGGCTGTTACCAACTCTTCAGCTGCCAGACCTGAAAAAAGGCAAGGTTAGACCAAAATGGACGACATCGATCCACCGTGGGAGAGGGACGTGAACAATGCTGTTCACCTGTTTTAAGAATGGTTGTCCTTGTTTTGTGGTCTGGAAGGAGGCAAGAGGCAAATTTCAGCAGCAATACTAAATATTCGTGGGGGGAAGGAGAGAAGAGGAAAAGCAAGGACTGCATCATGACAGGCACCTACTGAAGACCAGGGAGAAGAAGGTAAGGAGAATGTCAGAGGAGGGACCTGAAGAACTTCATCCAGCAAGTACCAAGGTAATTAAGCAATATAGAGCAAATTATCCCAGAGCAGAAGAAAAACAGGAAATATTGTAAAAGACGAGTGCAGCTGTACCAAGAATGCCTTAATGATCTGAGATACAAAGAAGAATGAGACAGTAAAGCCAAAATGCAAAAATCAGAATATAAAGAAATAGCACAGGCGTGTAAAGACAAAATCAGAAAGGACGAATCATAACAATAGAAAGGTTTGTGACTATGGTGAAACCACAAGGAAAGTGAACTTCACTCCTAAGGAAAAAGTGATTTACAAAAAGAGATTTACAAAAAGAAACAGGCTGAAATGTTGTAGGCCTTTCTTGATTTAAGCTTCACCAAAAAAAACCCACATTTATGGTGAGCAGCTGTTCACCTCATTAGAGAAAGGGGATGGGCACACAAATTAGAAAATGGAAGAAAAATATTTTTCTAAATTAGGCTTTGTCAAGTCAGTAGGGACAAATGAGATTTCCCTAAGGGGATGAGTTATGTACCCAGAGATTGCAGAAGTGATCTCTGAACTATTAACAGGCATCTCTCAGAGCTCTTGGTAGAATGGCAAGGTTTCTAAAGACTGGAGAAGGGACACAAATTACCTATTAAAAAGAAATACAGAAAAACAACTGGGGAACAAACCAGCCAGCCTTGGATTCTCAGAAAGACTTTGGAGAAAAATCACTAGACAGTCAGGTTGTAAATGTCTAAAGGACAACAAGGAGATAAGAAAGAGCCGTTACAGATTTAGCAGTGACAGGTCTAATTTTTGTTTTCTCGGACAGGGTAGTGGCTGAGGGAAAAAAAAGGAGGTAAAATACCGTGAGTGTAAGGCAAAGAGATCTCCTCAGAAGCAAGTTCAGAAAATACAGTCTAGACGACAGTTCCTAAGTTTTCTGCTCCTGGCCATTTCTGTTTCCACTCCTGGGACCACAACCTCAAGATGAGCTGCAAACACTACCCTCGGCAACTCTGGTTGGATTAAATTATTAAAATCAGAGAATTTACCGAAAAACTGTAATTGAAGAGTGGTCAAAATGAGAGCAGTTTGGAGGATGGGATTAGAATCCAAAACTAATTTAATAAACTGGGGGAATAGCCTGAAATCACTATGATAAAACATGACTTGCAGGATTATACTGGGGGGAAAAAAATCCCAGTGTTTGTTTAATATAGAAAGGATGGTATGCTTGGACGGGGCAGGAAAATGACAGCGCTCCTCATACTTAAGGCTGTTAAAGAGAGAATGGTCATCCCTTAGTCTCCAAGGGGACTAAGTAGGACACGAAAGTGCACTTTCTTACAGTTTTTTAGGGAGCACCGCTTTGATCCTCATACACAAGCTTGCTTCTTGCGTTCTCTCTCCTTCTGTATCCACAGTCTGATGTGTCCCTTCAAAACCATCCCCTTTTCCTCTGGTCTCTGTCTCTTCCATATCCTATAACCATCTTAACCGTCTGCTTTCAAAAGCACTGTCCTGCCCTTCCCTTCTGGCCACATCTCTGCACCAGGTTCTGCCCTCCCAGCATCTCCTGGACTCCAGCACCATTTCCATTTCCTTCCAAGTCCTCTACTGTCACCTCTGACCTGACCACGTGTGGCTTCCCCTCCTGATTCCTTCCTCCAACCTCTCAGCTAACCCCTTCAGTCCTTCTTTCTGTGCCGAATCTGCTTCTGCCCACGGGGCACTGCTGCGCAGCAGGCTTGCCACAACGCTGCTTCTGCCATGCTGCATTCTGCAGCAAAGCACCTACACTGACATTTGAGGTCAGACACCAAAAGGAAATCACACTCGGAGGCGGAGCTCGGCTCTGGTAGGACATCCCTTTATGCACTAAGCACAGACTACGAGAGGTTGCAGCCATGCTAGCTGGAGAGCTCAAACCATCAGCTCTACTGGCAGGCCTGCATGGAAAAGTTCACACCGTGCCTATATTCTCTGCATGTCCATTTGGCCAAGTCCCCCCTTCTGATACAGGCCAACATGCACTTCCTCCTCCAACCACCTCCCAAACAGCTCTCTTCTAGCTACACCTCCCAGGACACTCACCTTAAAGGAGAGCTTGGTTTTGCTTTCAGGCTGTTTCCATATAATGAAGCTGACAACAACAACGAGGATGGCAGCAATAATCCATACAGCCTTTATCAGAATGCTTGGCTCAAGGGCAGTCAGGATACAGCTACCCACGATAAGGAAACCTGTGAACAGACACCAAAAGCTTACTGATTCTTTTTTTAGGAACAGGAAAAAAAAACCCAAAACCACAAGCAGGCAAAGCAGAATCTGAAAGCTCGGCAAACAAAACTGCAACACATGAAAAAGCTAACTGTAAGAAATATGCCCTTCCCCCTATACACCCCCCCCCACCTGTGGACTTCTTTTCAAGTCATAAATTTAATCTGTAGATCTTCAGTTATTTTGGCCATTACAGGGGCTCATCAAAATTACAGCCAGGAGATGAGCTTTCCCACCACGGTGAGTACAAGGACCTACCAGCTGGCTCACTGCCCAGTGCTTACCAATGATGAAGGTTGAGACATTCACCACTGAGCCAGAGAATTTGGAAGGGTCCGAATTTGGGGGACACAGTATGGCTTTGAGTGAACATTTCTCCTCTTCCTCTGGCAGAAATCCAGCCTGCGACTCACTGGTGCTCACAGACTCGTTGTTATCAGTCTCCTCTGTTGTCCTAGCCATCTGGTATGCCAAATTAGGCTGCTCTGGCTGATACCTAGGAAAAGGGAAATGAAACAAAGAGCATATTGGTTTGGTGCAGGGTACTTTTTGTTTAAAAGCCACACAGATAGCCATGGCTGCACCCCAGAGCACTATAGCACCAGAACAGGCACACATAACGTCTACAACCTTCTGTTTCAGGGGGAAATCCGAGAATAACGTCATCATAATGTGAGCAAATATGGTCAGCTATTATCACCTACAGCTTGGTTGTAATGTCAGTGTTTTAAACTGGACAGTGCTCTCTTTCAAAAACCCTATCATCCATGTCACCAAAACATGACTGGGTGATAGCAGTGAGGACCAGAGAAGGAAGCAGCAGAGGGACAGACAGACCATCATAACTGGGCCGTCGGGTTATCTGTGGCAGTTCAGCTCTTGTGTTTTGGCACGGAGGTGGCTGAGCTAACAGCTCAGCAGATATCACACCCCGGCAGCTGCTGATCGCACCCCGCAGCAACATTCCTGGTGCCCCATCCTCTTCCATCCCAGTCTCTTCTGCTGGCTTGTCTGCTGCCACATAAGGAAGGAAGAGGTGAACGAAGAACGGTAATTTTTTGTTGCTTGTGTGGACAGCACCTCATTCAACGGGGCCCTGATGCACAGCCACGTGGATCCATAAAGAAAAAACACTCTTCCAGCCTCAGCTCTCTTTTGGTTTTGCCCATGACTCTCAGCCACAAGCCTGACTAAAGGAAAGGGCCGCTTTGAAATACACCTTAAAATCGCTCCTGTGGGGATGTGTTTGCAATGAGGGCATTTGTGAAACACTGCAAATTGAGAAATGCAGTGAAATCCTCGGCTCCAGCCACAGCACGGTATTAGTGGCAGGACCTTACAGCTTTGGAAACAATTCAGCTGCTACTTCATTAGGCAGCCAACGGGGCAGCCAAATTACTGCCCAGGCTGCTACAAGACAGGCTGTCAGATCTGCAAACCTTAGATGGTGAAAATGCCATACAATGGGTACAGCAGCTTGCAAAAATAAATTAAAGCAATTTACAGCTGTATAGAGAAGAGGGGACTGGAAAATCAAAGGAAAAGTAAGAAGGGCAAGGAAAATCATCACGGATTTTCAAGGGGCAGGGTGGACAGAACAGGCACAGAACAATGGTATTACAGTACAGCGTTGGGCCTTCACCTGCTGCAAGACAGTTCTTAGTTCAATACATTTGCTGTGAGCAGGCAAAAAGCCTCCACCAGACTTTGAATAAGTCATTGAACACAAAGGTGTTCTTCAGGAACATGATCTTCAAAATACAGTCCTCATGGGCAGAGTGCTGTTGTCCATGAGGTGCCAAGCAATGAAGATACTCAATTTTCAGCTTAGGTTAGGGAAGCTATGGCAACTCAGCACTTCTAAAAGACGTGCACTAAGGCACTGATCCTGCGAACACATGCTCAGCTTTTTTGCTGCTGCTAGACTTTATCTTGAATCCCCTTTCAAAAGTCAGATGACCTGAAACTGTATCCCCAGTGGGAACAAGAGTGATGACGACGCAGGCATCCAGGACCACCCATCTCTCATCTCATGTGTTAGCATATCTCTCAGGGCATCCAGGGTTGACCACAGCAGGAGCAGCATGGGCCAAGGGTCAACCAAGTTCACAGGACCCCCTTGCAGATCCAACTAGCACAATCCCCCGTGAACTTAAAGAAACAAACTCTTCACATACTTATAGCTGGAGATGTTCACGGTTTTACTGGGTCTATGGAAACTATGAGGGCACCTGATCGCTGTGTGGATTTCTGTCTGTGTGATACAAGAGATGATGTTTCTACATCCATACCTCAGTACCAACACGCAGGCTGCCACCAAGGAGTAAGCCAGGAGGGTCCCAATGGACATGAGATCCACAAGATCTTTCAAGTCAAAGAGAAAGGCCATAACAGCTGTAGGAGGAGACGAAGGTGAGAGAGGGAAGAAAAATCAGTAACACAGCATAACATGCACATCTCAGGAGCGTTAATGACGATGCAGCACATGTGTGCCTGTTCTCAGGTCTCGGCTGGGGAGCTCGAGCTGTCCTGAGACAGGGAGAGGCAGAACTTGGCGCATGAATACCCTGAGCCTCGCAGGCTGTCCCAGCACAGCCTCACTAGCTCGAACCAGAGGAACCATTTACTACAGTAAATGCCAGCTTGTTTGTCTCATATGGGTATGTTCACCCAACTAACAGCAATGAGCAGGTATTTAAGCCACAGTCTTGTTGCCGGAGTGCCCTGGCACAGCTGCAGCACCCCTAAGGCCACAATTATTTCCTGGAAGTAGCTAGAGGGAACAGAGGACTGGCAGCACCTCGCTCTGGTGTCTCAGCTCAGCTGGGGCGAAACCAGGCTTGTGCATGCAATGGGGACCAAGCATCAAGGAGGGCATCTTCAGTTAGCATGCCTCATCATGGGGGTTTCCAGAAAAAGGTATAGACTGCCATCCCTTAGGGATTACCCTGCTTACACACCCTCACCAGGCAACCCCTGGTCGTACGGACCTTTATGCAAAGGCCTTCAGAAGGAGAAGCAAGTAAGCAGAGGACAGACGCCATAGTCAGACATGCAGGTGACGCCACCGGTCATGAGAGCGCAGGGATCTCAGAGCTGAGCCTGGCCCAGCCTGTCCTCAATGCACTGTCTGGAGCCCAACAACCGACCCAACCTTCAAGCTCAGCTGGCAAGTGCTGTCCCTGCAGCTTCGTGTGCACTTTGGTCCTAGGCACTACAGACCACTCTGAGGAGACCTAAGGGACTGCAAAGCACATTTTTTTACTTTATCTGGCTCTTTTTTCCCTAGTTTGGACCCAAGGCCGCCTGAAGAGAAAGGTGCCAGAGAAGCAGCTGTGAGGAGGCTCCGTGGGTCCCAGCAGCAGGAGCTGAGCCGCTCCACAGGAGCTCAGAGCCCACAGTGGCAGTTCAGCACCAACTCCCCACCAAACATGGCAAGTTCTCACATCAACGGCTCATCCCGCATTTGCAGCAGAAGGTAAAGAGGAAGCAGCAAGGCTAGGCATTGAGAGGAAGGGGGCACCTACGAGAAGAGGGTAAGCTTCTCATCCTTGCCGTGTGGGAGGTTTAATTCCCATATTCCTGGGGGCCAGGAGAGGGAAGGGGGGGAGGATGGGATGGCTGCCAGCTCCTGATTAACAAACGCCTGTGCCACAGGGGTCATCTGCCTGTCTCCGGCTGCTCTGGCGTCTTCTGCCGAGCTGCTACCCACAGGCGGTGTGGTGTCTTCAGCCAAGCCAGGCCAACAGCCACAAGGATGCTGGGGCACCGCTGGCTGCCACCTTGCAGGGGGTTAATTATTTTTAAGGCTGGCAGAGCACCCAGGGAGCGGATGAAGGCAATTCTTGGCATGAGACAGGATGTCAGCAATGAGCTCTGAGAAAGAGGAACAGGCACACAGTGAGCTATTCATGCTCACCCAGCCCCTCCAGGGTATGCCCTGGAAACCCAGGGCATGCTCTGGGAAGTCGTGCTGTGCAATACATCCGATTAGTAAGTGGGCTAGAGTCAGGCAGACTTATCTGTCCCTAGGATGAGCTTATGCCTCCGTTCCATGCATTCGTGTAAGTCTTTGGATCTTACCTGCAACGGCCCCTGATGTCACTGTTGCAATTATTGGAGTTTTTCTCTTCTCGTTGACTTTAGCCAAAAATTTAAAGAGAAGCCCATCTTCTGCCATAGCATAAATTATTCGAGGCATCGGAAACATGGAGCCAAGGAGACTAAGGACACAGAAGGGGGAAATAATCTACTTATATCACCTCCTGCTGAGCACAGGCACACAAACGAAAGCAAGTTTATGGCAGTACAAACACAGAACAGGTGGCTTTCGTTCACTTCAGCTTCTCCTTCAAGGGCTCCCTCCACACACTCATGTTGCTGATAGCTGGCAACTGAGGTGCAGCTCTGAGATTTTGGATACCTAAACTTAGCCACAGGCGATGAAAACAGCCTGACTTTCAGATAGCAAAATAGCCATAACTTCTACGAGCCTCTATGAGTTGCTCACCTAACTGAATGTGTCCAAGTTGATCTGAAACAATAGGTCTCTAGAGTGCAGAAGAACATGACATAGTTTGCCTCCAGCCTGCCCTGCCTCCCATCCAGATGGCTGTCCTGCAGGCAACCTGCAGACAGACGGCCCTGGATATAGTAAGCCGCATATGCTCCAGGAGATGCACCCTGCACTACCTGACACAAATCTGCTCTCCACCCAGCAGGCCAGGATGTCTTGTGGGCAAACCATGCTTGCACTGCGGAGCTGCCTCCATGACTTAGTCAATGAATCTATTTATATTCCAGAGATGCACCTGCTGGGTCTGCTGCTAAGATGGGAGTTTCTGAAGTGATACTGGTCATGTGCACCTCTGAAATCTATCACATCTATCCTGGCTCTTTTGAAGTCAATAGCTCTGAATTTCATCCCTGGTCTCGATTCCCTTGACCTAGGGGAACACAGTGAAGGCAAAGCCCTGACATGCACCATTTTTTAAAGGAGCTGGAGATACATGTTTGCCTTGAGAGATGCACAAAGGAAGAACAGTGTCTCACCTCGTAGAAAGCGCACACAAGGAACCGACAGCCACTGCGTAATTGGCTCCATCCCAACCCACATATTTAAAGGCATTGGGTAAAGGGCTGTTGGTATCCAGCTGGTAGTAAGGCATCATGAGCGTCAAGGCAGCTGACACACCAAAATAAGCCACAAAGCAGATGAGCAGAGATGCCACGATGCCAATAGGAATGGCCTTCTGAGGGTTTTTTACCTCCTCACCTAGAAGAAAGAAATTGAAATACCAGCTAAATGACGAGCAAGAACTTTATCCCAACCTAGGACATGCTGGCTGGGGCTTTCAAAGGCTCCGTGGGCAGCAAGGCGCTGTTTGACCATGTGTGGACCTGCATGCTGCCGATGGCCTGCCCCAGCCTGTTGCTCCCACTTCTGCTGCTCCTGTGACTCCTTCTGACATAAACATTTGTGGAGGCCTTGTAAACTCAGGCACAGAAATGATATGGATTAAAAGCAGTCCCTTCCCCAAAAAGGGTTATTTTTACCTCCAATTACTCCTGCTATCCCACTGATGGTGCAGCCCCAAGAATAATTCAATGATCACAAGCAATGGGACAAGAAATTATTGTGCAGTTGTAGGGTAAATCCTTGGGTGAGCATTTCAGTTAGCATCTCCACCAAAACTACTGCACAGTGAACACAGCACCATAGGTGCCCAGTTCCAGCGAAATGCAGACTTCGCACAGCACCTGGAAATCATACAGATCTTTGAAAATCCCTCTTAAAAAAAGGGACTCCCTCTAGTTTTTATGGAAATTTTTCGACAACCAAGTTGGGATGAATGTGTAAAATAAAAAAAATCCTCAAAATTCAGGCACTGATTAATTAAGAAACAGCTTTGAGCCTTCACTGTCCTCCAGAGCTGCTCTCCTCTGAAAGCAAGAGCTCCTGACGTTTGGCATTTCAGGAGGATGAACCGATAAGCAGAGACCCATACACCTGTAAGTCAAAGGCAGATGAATGTGTTTCTCCTCCAAAGAGAGGCCCTAGGGCTGGCTGGAGTAACGGAGCCAGCACTTCTCAAACTCCTTGGAAGAAGAGGCAGTACTGCTTTATCTGTCTTTGTGATGATCTCCTCCTCTCTCTGCTCCAGCTTTGAAGCAACTCAGTTCTTGCCAAATGTGAAATTAAGGATAATCCTTCCTTTCTCCAGGGAACTGAGATTCTTCTTAGCCAGGAGAAATATGACAGTGCTGATGTTTTCTCTTTCAGAGGGAGATCTCTGAACCTTTGAAGATAAAAACTCCCCCTTATTTTGAGGCCCAGTCTTAGGCTGCAGATGACTCCCCAGAGGCTCCCTCTTTCTCTGGCTCTTTAAATACTCCAAGCCAGTTGAGCATCTTCAGCTGAGGGCACTGAAGAACCCTACTCCAGAATAACATGTTGATGAAAGCATCATCTGGAGTTAGAGGTTCACACTTCACCAGTCATACAAAGCATCTGAACCTGGGCCTTCCCGGTTTCCCTAACTGGTAAAGCTGGCTGTGTTTTCTGTGGAGTCTGACCTGGTTAGTGTCATCAGTTACCAACCATGGGACTGGGCCCTGCAGGCAAAGAAGGGAGAAAGCTCGTTTTGTGGGTTATGCAGTCTAGCTGCCTGGCACAGCAGCTAGAATTCAACACTCGAGCACCCAGGGACTTGGACATACTCAGCACTTCCAGTATTAGGAGCAGCTGAGCCAAAAGTATATTTTGGGCTGAGGTTCAGAGGGATGATGAATGCAGTGTCCTGAATTACTCATTATCTGTGCTGTGCTGTATTACTGAAAGCCAATCTACCAGCAATCAGGTTCATAACCAGAATGAAGATGTCTTCCCTCTTACCTGTAGTAGCAATACAGTCAAATCCCACGAAAGCATAAAAACATGTGGCTGCCCCTGAGAGGACTCCTTTCCATCCATAGGGCATAAACCCTCCAACACCATAGAGCTTTTCTTCCTGCGTTAGGCTAAAAGGCATGGCACTGGGTTAGAAGTCATCCTGCCTAGGTGGGAGTAACAAAACTATTCATATAGCTCATAACAAAATCCAAAGCTGGAGTTTGAAGGAACACACTCTCCCTTTCACATGCTAGCATACAAATACCAGGCAAAATGCTAAGCCCTACCCACTGCAGAGCTTTGGACTGCAGGCCTGCAACAGCCTGGGGAATGCAGGGAATAAAAATGGTTCATGGTTTGTTCCTACCACCTGTTTTTTGGGGCAGATAAAAATGTCTTGGCCAAGACAGGGAGAAAATAGCATGAATATTAAAATTCCTCTCCTAATATTACTGCATGCGTGTAGATACACATACCCATTTAAACATAAGCTTTTGAAAAAGCACAACATGTAATTCTGAAAACTGAAGACTGAGAAAAATGTAAACCGTCCACTTTTCACCTAAGATAGACTCAGATAAAGTCTGTGAGTGAGTAGACATCAGAGAGCAATGCAGGGTGCCATGACTGTCTAAAACCCACCCAATCCTCCATTCTCAACTCCAATATTCCCTGAGCCAAGTTCATACCCAAACCGTGCTTGCCACCCTGATGGAGGAGAGAAGCCTGCATGCCTCACGCACCAAATGCTTTGCTGAGCCTCATGCAAAGTTCATTCAAGTCAACAGACAGACATCTCCTGATCCCAGTCCATTCTGGATCAGGACCCTGAATCCATGTGCCTGTGTTGACTCATGTATAACATATCCTTCAGTTCAAGTGACTCAGGTCACTTTTTCAGGGAAAAGCCTTTGTAAAGATGAATTAAGGCAATTAAATTAAAGTAAATCCCAAATGCAAGTCTTATCAGGTGTAAGCGTCTGAACTCTCTTGTAGAATCTCTGTTGAGACTTAGATGAAAACTGGCCTGTTAAGTGCAGAAATAGCACAACCCAAATGTGGATTACTCTGGAAATAATGAAGTAAAGTAAACCCCAGACAGATTTTACAAAAATATTAAGTGCTACAGGTCAAAGAGCTACACTTACACTTTGAAGCTATAGCACTAATTGCTCCTTGCATGGGAATAGCAGTAGGGAAGGAGGGGGGACCTTTCCTATAGAAGCAATTCGTTCACAGCAGGCTGAATTTTGCAGGGACACTCAATAAGCGGCTTGTACACAAGCCAAACTTGACCCACGCAACATTTATGAATCTCTCCCGTTTTTGCCAAACTGTGCTTCCTTGCAGGCCAGCTTAAACAGTTTAGATAGCAAGCCACGACTGAGTTGAGGTACATGGAGATATTTAAAGGCCCTCATTCTGTGTTGCATAGTCTCAAGCAAAAATGAACAGCCTTGTATCACTGGCAACCCTTGTAAGCTCCTTAATTTTAATCTTGTATAGGAAGTCAGGATTTTGGCCAAGTAGCAAAATATCACTAAAAATGGATTTGTGATATGCTTGCTGCAATGCATTAAAATAATCTGCAACTTGCCTTCATTTTACTGAGGCAGTAAACTTTTGGGACAAAGTCTCCAAAAGGTACAACTCAAGGATATTGCCCAAGTGTCCAAAGCAACTACAGAGCTATACTTGGTCACGGCTTCATACAGGCACCAGAGCCAGCCTGCTGTAGCCTTGAGAAGGAGGTTGTCTAAAAAGCTCTTTTCTCTCAAATTTGGATGCTGTATTGGTCATGAGGCTGGGAATGGTCAGTTCTGCAGCAGGGCCCACGCTGACACAGCCTACCTCCTATCAGTTTCAGCCCATCAGCACAGCCTGCTTTCAGCAAACGCCCACTGAAACCAACTTTGCCTCAAGGCATTTGGCAAAGGAGGGAGCCATCCCATTCACTGGTTTTCTAAATCATTCCACAAACCCCCCTATAAGCTTGCCATTGAAAATGCATCAATTTCAGAGCTGAGAAGAAAAGATCCAACCTACTTGTCTCCGTAAATGCTGTGGCTGGTGTTGTAAATGTCCTGTTCAGTCAGCTGCCAGTTTTTAATAGACCCTTTCACGAAGCCGGAGACCATGACGAAGCCGAGGACAAGGATGTTGATGCAGGTGAACACTTTGTTCACCAGGGCTGATTCCTTCACGCCAAAAATTAAAAGCCCTGGGGAAAAAATGGCAGATAGGTGGTCAGGTATTTCGCCACCAGGAGCAGGCGCTGAGGGCTTGCAGAAGTAGCCCAGCTCTGTTCATGCTGTGCTCTGCCCAACTTATCACACCTCATTTCTCCACAAAGCCAAGTAGCTCAGGCAGGTCAGGATTAACTCACCCCGAAGGAGGACGAGGACTCCAGCCCAGACATTACTACCGCGGGATGTGACACACCTTCCCATCCAGCATGCCCATTTGGCACGTGCCCCTGGTAAAGTGCTCTGCTAACACAGCTAAGCTGCTTCCAGCGCTTTCAACGCCAGCTCTGGTCACCTCATGGTGCTATGCTGTGCCACCTAGACACAGCCTCAAACTCCACCCAGAGACCTGGAGAAAGCCCCCCAGGTGGTTTTTCATGAAGGAACATTGTCTTAGAGGTCTTGGCCACATGCAGAAGTTATGAACAACATTCAATTTTCCTTAGAAGCAGGGGAAAATATGAGCAGGGACTGAATCCAGGAGGACAGCTACTTCTAGTTCTGAAGACACAGAAGAAGGTGGCATCTTGGGAATCCTGCTCCCATTTAAATCAGCGGGAGCTTCTCTAGTGAGTTCAGCAAGAGCAGGATTTCAGCCTGTGGTCTTAAGAGCACCCATCTGAAGAAGAGCACATTTACAGGCTTTGGCAACCAGGATCTCACTGAGGCATAGCTCGGCTTCTCAGAACGACAAGCTCTGGTAACTTCCGTTTGCTCTTCAGGTGCCTGATTTTCAAGAACCCAAACCTTTAACCCAAATCTAAAAAGGCGGCTGAGGGAGAAGGTAAAAAACTTCACACGGGCCTGACGGAGAAAAGAAGCACAACAGGGTGTCCTTACTGCTACTCCAAGGCACTTCAAGGACAGGGGAGCATCCTATGCACTCACCTTTCCTTCTTTTAAAATAGGAAATAAGCTGATAAGCGTTTGATAAAACTGCGTACCTGCCCAGGAAAACTTGTAAGGTACCTCGTAGAAATCTGAAGCTCAAGACAGTGCAATCAGAAATAAACTTGTAGTGCTTATATTTGGGACTAAAGCTGCTCATTCAGCAGCTTTTTGTAGAAAAGAATGGTTTGCATTTTTTATTAAAATCCAGGGAATTTGCTCCATGCAGGGGAATAGAGCCATCGGTAATCTGTATAATTTTACTCCTCAGTAGTGCTAAAATGAGGAGTCTTAATTTTTGTAAATTGTATCTGGTGAAAGACCAGATTCTAATTTGAAACTAAAGCAATTCCTATTATATACAAATGAACAAAGAGGAAAATCTTCTCTCCCATTCAGATGTAGTCCTGAAAACAGAAGGCTGCTCTTGACTTCAGCAGTCCTTGATATAGTCCTAGATCCAAATGCAAACCCAGATGCCAAAGCATCCCTTGCTTATGAAGCCTGTTCCCATGAGCACAGCTCATGCTGTGAGATGGCCATCCTGATCAGAGTGGGAAATGTCGGGATAACCTTGTTGGGGTGACACTGCAGCTTCTGCGTTCTGGAAACCACAGAGGGGTACATGAGAAGTGTAATTTTTTAAATTCACCTAAATTTGGCAATGCTTTGCAAGATCCAGTTGGAGCAGAGCTAGAAGTTCAGAAGGATTTTAATTTTAGAAATTTTCAAAACTTTTCCAAATTCTGATCAAAGCCTTGGCACATTTTTAGAAAAAAAGAGGACCTGACTGTTTATCACACATTTATTTTTCTGGAGTCTTGCATCCACTGCTGCAAACTGAAGCCCATATGTATTTTAAAAAAACGAAAACAGTAGTACATGAGGTTGTTACTGAGTCCCGTATTTTTTTTCTCACTTTCCTGGCTCAAGGCACTGAAAATTGGCAGATTATCAAAGGGGGAATAAGGCTGATAGAGCAACAGAATGAAATTCCTGTGTAATAGGATTTGTGGAGGCAAGGATTAAACTTCCATACCTGATTGAAGATAACAAGTCATCTTTTCTTTTCTTCCTTATATAAAATTTGATCGAAGGTTTTAAAAGTGGCTCAAAAAATACCGAGAATGCTCCCCTCTAATTAAAAACCTTGTAAACAGGCTATGCCCCGTGCTAACTCCACAGCAGCTATATAGGTCAATCCAACACTTGTAGCAAAGAAAGAGTCTTTAATATTGTTGTCCAAAATAAATCAGGACTTTGTGCCTATTCCAAAAGCAAACAATGAAATTACAGAAGGAGGTCCAAGACTCACAAACCCTTCCAAGGTTTTACCTGTTAGGATGATGATTATCACCACGGCGAAGACGTCTGGGTATTTTGCTAGCACTCCGGGAGCATCCATCGTCATATATTTTTTACAAAATTTTTCAATATGCTGGCCTATGATTTCATCAAACGTTGCGCTCCAGGCTCTGGCCACGCTTGAGGTTCCTGCCAGAGGACAGAAAGGATGCAGATCACCCTTCGTGGCTGGCACACGTTCCAAACAGGGGGCACCTTGCATGGCTTTTCACCATGGAGGGCCTCAAGCAACCTTGCATGTGCTTCCCAGGTGCTGGGAGCAGCCTTTCCTCTGCAGATCCAGCCCGCAGCCTGTATTCATGCCTGGCATCTGCTTTGATGGTAACACACACAGGTGGTGGGTCTCAGACTCCTACTCAGCTGGCAAGGTAAAAAAATCCTTATAGTCTTTTGGCTTCTTAGTAAATCTTGACTTTGCCTTAAGATACAGCCTAGACTGATGCTTTCCTTATGCCCCCAGCAACCTGAACTTCCCCCAAACCTGGTAATTTCTGCTACTAGAGAGGTCTGAGTCTCTTCTCATACCAGCAGAATCCCCTGGCAGCCCTGCCCAGGTGACTGCAGCCCAGGCAGAGGGACCTTACAGAAGCCAGCCAGCCTCCGGCAGTGCGACACTGGAGCACCAGAACCTGGACTGCAACAGTTGCCCAGCTCTGTAAGCTCTGCACTCCAGCAACATACAGATCTGCTCTGACCTCCGGTGCTAGAACATCCAAACAGGATAAAGACTCAGATATAATTTACAGGTTACCTGAGCATAAGTCAGCCTACTGCAGGATGCTGGTGATGATCCCAGCAAGCGGCACGACTCCTGCCTGCAGCAAGTGCTTAGACGTCCCCCTCCGGGGTCGCTTTTTGCTGTGGTTCCCAAGAGCACCAAACTATGCACAGCTTGCCGGGGTGAGGACTGAACCTGGGGTCTCAGGATGACCAAGTCTGGGACATTGTCTGGGCCAGAAGAGTCATTTCAGAGAACCGAAATAGTAACAACGAAGAGCTACCACCAGACAGTGACAGCATTGTGTAAAATAAGTAGGTTTGGGTAATAGCCAACTTCTCCCTCTCCTGCATTAAAGTGGCTATCATTATACTCCTGATGTCTTATACAGTACATTATATATAACAGCATCTAATTGCATGATATAATTACTACTGTACATAATTACCTAGTTAAAAAAAGAGGTTGGTTTGGTTTCGGTTTGCAGAGGAATTCCTCAGAGTACGCCGTCAGGGCCCCCTTCTACCTAGAACAGTTTGTCCTGACACACTCACCTGCGGGTGGGTGTTCAGGTCCCGGCTCCGGCACCTGCAATCATGTCAAACAATGTCCAAGCTTATCTACAGCTAATCCCTCTGCAGCAGCGGTGGGAAGCACCTGCAGCAAAGCTGGGAACACTCACTGCCCCAATCCAGCTTTGCAACAGTATAAAAATAAGCTGCAGAACAGACCTGTTTGGAGACATTTCTGTTCACTGAGACAGAAAAGTGCACAATGTGAATGCTTTTGAAAAGGTGGGACATCAGTGCCATCAATTTAATCTTGAAAAACTCCAAAATTTATTGTATACCACATTACAATTTTTCAGCTTAACTTTGGCATGGTTTGAGGGAAGAGACTATTTCTTTAGTGATTTTTTTTTTTTTGTCCTGGCTCTAATATTTCGTGTTCTAGGACAGGAACAACCAGCTCCTGCATGTGTTATATTAGATGCCAGTTGCTTGGATGCCAGTTCCACTATCAGCCGTTTATCCCAAACTCTCTGTAACCAACAGCCTTGAGGGAGCGGGGGGAATCTGACATTCTTCCAACATCGCAGACACCTGGATAATATCTTACTGTTGCTAGAGAGCACGGTGCAAAGACATTCGGCTTGTATCCGGGAGGATTTACTAGTTCTGGGTCAGCACAACCTCGCCAGATCGAGCTGGGTCCTGCCTGCAGCACATGGCTCCCAGGAGAGCTGCTGAGCTCAGGTGCAGGGCTCACTGCAGAAACAGGCACAGGGTAGGAGGCCACCACGTGCCCCAGGAAACCCCAGCAGCAGCTACTCACCAGGGATGCTGTTACTCATCGTATTACCAGCTCCCACCAGCTTCTAGTTCCTGAAATGCTTCTCACAATCTGGCATGGCTCCCCAAACCCACATCTTCCCAGAAGGAAGTTCACACCAGATCCTGGTCCTGAACACCTTCTTCCTTCTGTCTAGACCACTTTCATACCCATTTTTGCTCGTCACTCACCTCCAAAACCCCACACCAGTCTTCCCCCAAGTCAAGTCACTTCAATTAATTACAAGCTATTGGCCACCCATCCCAGGACACCAGGATCTCTTTTTCCACCCCCACAATACTTTCTGAACAGATGTCTGAGAACCTCAGCATGAAAACACCAAGTTGGCTGAGCCCTTTACAGATGCAAGCTCCCACCACCCCATGTGGTTTCGGTGGCACTGCTTGGCATTTTCTGCAGCACGACTGAGAAAAAAATTGGCTTTCTGCCCTTCTCAACCCCTGGCTCTGAACTGCCACGTGTGCCTGCCAACATATCTTTCTCCTCCACACCCCCAAAGCTGCTGGGAGTTGTCCCAGCTCACAAGAGGGGTAATTAGCACAGGGAGAAAGGTTGGGTAAGATAAAGAAGAGAGACCTGCTATAGCTCACTTCCTCCCCTAGTTGTTTTTCCTGCTTAGCCAACCTTAATCCCAAATTATGAGGAAGCCAGTTGCAAACATGCATTTTTGCCACAGGACTGAATTAAAAGTAACAAAGTTGTGTTTGAACACATTCATGGATAATATCTACTTATTTTTTACTGAATTTTCTGCCTTGTGATAATACACTGAGCAGCCAACTCGGAAATAAAAACTGAGGCAGTGGTTCAAAAGCCATTATGAGAGGACAAAAAAAAAATATCTCAGAAATACCAGCCTCAGCCCAGATCCTGGGACTGTAACGTTCAGTATGCAAATCTTTTCATTGTGCATTTGCAGAATCAGGTTTTGGGACAGCATCCACGGCTATGTCAGTCATTTTGGTGGTCACATAACTAAGTAGATGAGGAGCATGGAGGAGAAGATTTATCATTACCTTTCTGGAATGGAAGATAAATCACCAAGAAGTCTGCTCAATTTTTCTACACGTAGCCTACGTAGAGTCCATTTTAGAAGTCTGGAGGAAATTATATGCTTACTTTTTTTAAAAACTATTTTTATCCCCTCCTTGCAGTGAACCTGATTCATAAAAGAACCACGGGACTCAGATTTCCTAAGGAGATGAGTTTAATTGACTCTGGCTTTTCATCCTCTCATTTCTTATTTAAAAAAAAAAAAAAAGGAGGAAGAGGAAAAGGTTTCAGGTAGCACACAGAGCAGAGCCAGCACGATCTCAGACAAGCAGCTGCTACATCACTGTATCGTTCTTGATATGATCTTACACTCCCCAGCACCATGGGAACTAATCTCCAAGGTAACACACATCCCATAAAATGCATTTAAAAAAAAAACCCTTCCTTTAATAATTTAGTATAACATTGGTTTTCATTTTAACTAGTAAGTCTTCACTCTCAACTGGCAAGTTGGTTGCAGCCTTAATTACAGGCATGATGACAAGCAGTGTGCCCAGAATGTGCTTGAAAAGACACGAATCCTTAATTAGCAAAGTGTGGCTTAAGTTTTAATGTATCAGCTGAGTTGTACACTGCATGCTCTGAGCTTGATCCAAGGCCTCTCCTAGTGGGAGTCAAGGGCTTAGAAGGGATTTGGTTTGGACATTTCAGAGACTGTGAACCTGCAGATCACCCTAAGCTTAATCCTGTAGCCATTCATGAGACAAAACTCTGATCTGCAGATACTTTAAACAGGTCTCAAAGGGACCAGGAATTAATCCTTGATCAGCCGGGAGTATAGATGCTGCTGTGTAAAAGCATCCTTCCGTCAGCGGCTTCTTTCTCGGCAGAGGGGACAAGCTTTTGCTCCCTGGTAAGTGTGCAGCAGCCAGGGGATGCCAAAGGGATGATGTGGAGATTCAGAGGAAGTCGCAGCAGCAATAATCCGGCCTCAGGACAAACCCTCAGCCCATAGCACACCACTCACCTCACCGACTGACAGGAGCCACCAACAACACACCCCGCAGACGAGTCCTGAAATCCTCAGTGAGTGCAAGAGTGCAGCGTCTATTTTGTAACAGTAACACAGGCGCCCAAACAAGGCTGATCTTATAATCTAGGCTGCCATCCTGGACTAAAGCTACGGTCTCGCAGTGCACCCACCATACTTACCAATAACATAGGAGAGGATTAAATTCCACCCCGTGATGAAGGCCCACAGCTCGCCCACGGTCACGTAGCTGTAGAGGTAAGCTGATCCCGTCTTAGGAACTCGAGCACCGAATTCTCCGTAGCAGAGTCCAGCCAGCACTGAAGCCAAGGCAGCAATCAAGAAGGAGATAACGATGGCAGGTCCTGCGTTTTCCCGCGCCACGGCTCCAGCCAGTACGTAGACACCTGCACCCAAAGTGCTGCCTACACCCAGAGCCACTAAGTCAAATGTGTTGAGGCATCGCGAGAGCCGACTGTCTTCTCGAGTGCAGTCCACATTTTTCCGGCGAAGAAGCTGGTTTCCAAAATTGATTATTTTCTGACACTCCATCTTTGTGTTTGGGCCTGCAAGAAAGATGCTGCCATCATTACCTGGACCAGGATACCCCCCAAAACAGCATCACTGCACAGGTACACTGCTACAGCCCTGTTACATTTCAACGAACAAATCTTCCCACTTTCCACCTTTTTACATGGCAAAATGTCTCCTTCAGCATTTTACCTAGGCTTAGCACAGGGAAATAAAACAGACAAAACCAAAGCATTTTCTGCTTCTCACTCCCACTCACGCTGCGAAGCCTGCACGATGCAGGGAGAGACGCGGCACTCCACGCCAGCTCCCACCCCGCTCCACAACCACCCAGTTCACTGACAAGTGGTCAAGCCAAAAACGCAAAGCCCATCTTTCAGATTTCAGAGTGTTTTTCCTGGGCTGGGAATTAAAAAAACAGACCAATATATATAGAGAGATGTGCTTATATATATTTTTTAAGTCTCGGGGTGAACTGTGAAGTGAGCATTACATCCCAGAATAAGACATCACAGGTGCTACTCTCCCTAGAGCACAACACGACCACGCGCCGCAGTCAGTGACACCATTTGCAGTCGAACCGACCCGGTGGGGCACTTCCCCTCTCTAAGCTCCAGCTCCAGCCACAGGCAGCAGCACAGGCTGCTGTTGCCTACTACTGTGCAGGCTGAAACAGATATAGTTTAGGAAAAAGGACACGCAGAACTGAGTTTTATTTAACTTGGTTACGCTGAGGCAAAGGCTCAAGCTATTTTGCATTTGCAGCAACTGATGTGACAGCACAGTGGGGCTCCCTGAACTTCCCTGTCCCACCCAGGACAGAAGCACTACAGGATGGGGGTGTTTAATGAAACTGTGGGGCAGGGTTTCCAGCCATGGTCCCATTTCAGCAACCGCACTATTCCTGTGTATGAACCTGCTGGCACGGCCAAACAGTTGTGTGCAGCGGCTTCAGTGTGTGAGCAGCTCAGGTGCAGCTCCCCTGCTTAGGACTTCATGATGGGGTTAGGAGCAAGGTAAAGCAAACCCCTCTGTGTGGAGGGATCCCTTAGGAAATCCTTCTGGAGTTTCTCTTCCCATGAGAGACACGTATCTTGCAGTGGTACACCATGGGAAGATTTTGCTACGCAACTCATCAAGCCTACAAATTCAACCATCTGCATAGGCGTCCACCTAACACAGACAGTGACAGCACTCATTAAAAGCTACAATCGGTCAAACCAGCGAAGCCAGCAGTGAGGTCAGCTCCTCGAGGACATCTGTGGAACCAGTGCCGTTAGGGAGTCTGTCCCTTCAAGATTTATGTCCTTGGACACAGCCCGGGTATGGAAGTTTTGTCTTACTCTTTCTGAAAAAACTTAAGTATGTTGCTTCAAAATTGTCCTTGCCTTTAGAAAGTGGCTAGGGAACTCCTCACAGCTTTACCTGAATCCACGAGCACAGCATTAGAAGGAATTTCTTGCTTTTTATACTGCCAGGTCTAGCCCCAGTTGTCACAGGCAACCATGGCGTAACATCAGGCCTTCCCTTAAAAATTTCTAGGTGCCTTATCTCCACTGTTGGAAAGCTCCACCACCACTCCTCTACTATCCAGCCAAAACGCTTTAGTAGGCAGTGTTTACTCACATGCTCTTGTGCCAAGAATGGCCTTTCCCCGCTTGGGTGGTTACCCCAGTGTACCTTTAGAGATCAGTCATAATCTCCCAGCCTTCATTTTGCAAAGGTAAGTGATCCAAGCCCCAAAGACATGGGCAGTCCCTTGCCCTGTCTGCAACTGTACACCTCTGAACCACCCTCTGAGCAGCAGTATATCCAATTAGCACCCTTCTACTTGTTGCATCAAGAAGAACCATCAGGAGAAGCAACAAGAGCATTCTAAGAGCAACCACTAAGAACTCCAGCAGGTACCTCCTCTACCAGTGTCTGTTTTCCTCTCCCAGACTTCTCACTAAAAAGTCCCTTTTGCACCGTTCCAGTTTCCCACTAGTCCTGATCTTCTTAAATAACTTCCTGTGTGGCACCCCATCAAAAGCTTTACTCAAGTCAAGATAAAGGAGAGCTATAATTCTTCCCTTTAACCTTAAAAATTAAAAAAACAATAGTCCCCCACCTTCCCTGTGCCTCTTATCAAATAAAACTGTCAGGTGAATCTGCCAGTCTCTCATAGGTAAACTCACTTATCTCTTTGCTCTTCTCCAGTCAATGGGCACCACCTCCTACTTTGACAGAGGTTTCGCTTTGCTTGTTCACCACCGTTTTCATGCCCTGGTTCTTTCTGATTACCTGTCCCCGGCCCTGCTCTTCTGAGTGTTGCTCCCACTGGCTGTAGCCATTTTCCTCAGCCCACACTCTTGTCATCCCACATTCATCCCAGCATCATCATCCTCATTCAGAATTTGGCAGTTGGATAATATGATGCTCTCCACAGCTAGGATGTTTCTGTAGGATGTGCTTGCTGGATTACTCCTAATTCACATACACAGAAAGACACCTATTAAAATAAAGCAGTGTTGGGGGAGCTGTAACAAGGCATGCTCTTCACCTTGAATGGGCCTCCAGTGGAGGAAGTCCAACACTTGTGACAAGCACCAAAAAGCTTTGAACGTCCCCACAGAGCCACACTCCAACCAAAGACTACAGGCAACCTAAGCCAGAGTAACAGAGCTGGCACTGACAGCAACCTACCATGCTTTTACAAACAGATTTGGCTCTAGGCACCAATCACTACTATGAGACCTGCATTCAACTATTTAAAGCCCATTAGCATTTCTGTTCTGAGCATAGGAGTACTTTAAAAGTGAATGTCCCAGTTGTCCCCATTTACCACGCTTTGGTTCACACTGTGGAGAGCTCGTGGAGTGCACAAACCCGATACTACTGGGATGAACCTAAACCTGAGGGCACTGCAGGGGCATATGTAATGCACCCCAACACCTGATGGGTGCTCAGCCCACAGAAACAGCTACTCAAGGATAACCTCCCATGTAAGATGTGTCGTGCAGACATCAGATTCTCAGCAGCAACTGTTTTGCTCTGCAAATTTACAGGCTGCCTGGACAGAGCCTATGAGGATGAAGGGCATCTTCCGTCTCAGACTGCATCCTGTAACTTCAAGAAGCCCCAGCCTGATATCCACACTGCACCATTAAGCTCGGCTTCGGCAGCAGGGCTTTCAAAAGTTTCTTCATTAATTATGGAAAAGGAGAAAGGTTCCTTTATTTAGATGCAATGCTGGACTGAGGCTTAACTTTCCAATGAATAGCACCTTGTATACCAATAACGGAACAGCAGTACACATTGCACACTTACATCAATAGTATGCTGAGAATAATGTGTAGGCAAAATATTGCTACATGCAATTTACAGTATGGTCGAGTGAGATTGGTACTTCATCAGCTCCAGCTAAAACCCAGTGTAAAAGATGGGAAGATACGTGCTAAGAAACTTAATTAACTGAGTCAGCTATTAAAACCAATGCTTCAATTTTGTTGCTTTCTAGGATCAACTACAAAATCAAAAATCCTCTTCATTTTTCCAAGACACCAGTCATAAACCCTGGCTTAAATCCCTCTCTCTTGGCCTTACACTAACTCCCCTACTATGAGAAAGTAATTACAACTGCAGGAACAAGGCTGAGGATTTAGAAGTCCCACCGTGTCAGAAATTGTCTCCTCTACCAACAGCTCTCAAACATGCTCCCAAGAGACACGGATTCAGACTAATGAAGAAAGGTAGGTTTCAGGCCAATCTTACAAAAATCTCATTTGGTGAACCATGGGAATTCCCAACACACACAGAGAGGGAAAAATATTTTCTCCCTTCAGAAGGAAGACAGACCTGTTTACCTAAGTGTATTCATATGTCAATTCGCTCATGCAGTCTCCTTCCCACTTGAACCTTACCCAAATCCATGTCAGCCAGGATTGCTTTTGGCTGGACACCTGCCCACCTCCCCAAAAGCAAGGACAGGGCAGTCCTGAACTTTGAGCTGGGGAAAGATGACAAAAAGAGCACTGCACTGGAGCATCTGCTATGAATTTCATTGCTTTCTGGGACAACACAAGTCCTAGGCTTTGCTTAACTCCCACAAGAGTGATGCAGAGATCCTATTGATGCCTACATCCTACGAAGACCACAGCAATGGGGCTAACTCATCCACCCTGCCCAACAGTGGTGGTGGTGCTAGTTGACACTCAGTCTGGAGCTCCAGGAAATGGGGAGGATCCCAGTGCTGTGGAAAGATGGCCCAGCTCAGCAAGAAGCTGAGCAATGAGCCAGGGAGGTCTGCAGAGATGCAGTGCAGCTGGGCAGGGCTCACCTGCCCTTTGCACAGAGCCCCTGGGTAGGCCCAGACGGACCCCTGAGTCTGAGCTGGACCAACATAGGGGAATACTGGAGAAGCTCAGAGGAGATCTTCCTGAGACATTTCACCCTGGGTGAGGCTACAGGTCCAGGCCTCCCCAGACCCCAGTGACTTACGCACTGTTTTGTGTTCCTCAGGTTTTGCACCTCCGAGTTGACATCAACCTTGCTGAGCATACTGGGTTTCATCCTGCAAGGCGCTGAACATTTCTTACACAGAAAATCAAGGCGAGGGAGGAGACTATCTTGCAGGGTTGGACCACATAATGTGCAGCAGGAAAAGGTCTGTGATGTGTACTCACTCATCAACACATGGGTTTCTACAATGCCCACACGACAGGAACAGGGCTAACCCTAAGAGCTAGGTGGCACTAACAATACGCTTGCTTGCAGTGTGTCAGTAACCTACTGTCCCCATACACCGCACAAAGCTCCAAGGAGGACGTGCTCTGTGGTGAACAAAAGCAAAAGGCAGAGGTCAGGCTGTGCAGCCTGATATTATCTTTGTCTAAGAAGTGCCTCCAGGTGGAGGTGGACCAAAGTTCCCCGCAGGTGAGAGCTGCTCTCCCTGCTCCTTCGACCACCACTGACACCCAAGGGGTTGCAGATGCTAAGTCTCTTCCAGGATTTGGCTCAAGGCCTCTGCTTCAAAAACGTACTGCCTAACAATAACGGTA